GGGTGCAGCATCTTGACGAAAGCCGCAGTTAACCCCTCAAAACCACCATGTGGAAAGGGGGGGTCAGCACTCTACCACTTCTCCAGGAGCAACAGAGCACCTTGCAATGCAGAAGGACCCACACTCTTAAGCAGCTCCCTCCAGTGCAGCGAACCAAAGGAGCAGCTCAGAGGACTCTGGTGGGAACCCCTGCTCCAGCCCATTGCTGAAGGGCAGATATAGGGATGCAGGCCCCTGGAACTACCCACTGGGGAGCCCCAAGTCCCAGACGTCCTGCATATGGAAGGTACCACCTATAGACTTTGCTTTGTAGTTAATAGTATTTTAAAAATTATATTAAGCATTTTCTTTTGAGTTTTTTTTTGCTTTAGTCTCTGTTATAAATTTGGGTTTTTGTGTTTACACTGCTTGTGAGCAGGGGTTTTTGTTCATATGGGATGCCCCAGCAAATTTAGTGCTCCCAGATTCTTGGGTGGGGCCTTTAACCACTGGTATAATTAATGGGGTACCCCGAAATGTGAACCCAGCCCTCCTTGCTGCCAACTGGTGCCCAGGGGAAGGGTTACATCTGTATAGCTAAACTGAAGCAAAATTCTGCCTTTCACTTGCACTGCCACGCGCTAAGCAGTCAAGGTTTAAACCACGGCACAAGTTTCCGGTAATATTTGGGATATGTGGTAATATATGTCTACTTCTCTACTTGCAGAACATAGGAGTATAACAAATTCCCGGGTTGCAGAGGGATTTTTGGCACTACCTTAATACTGAATAGATGATAATAAATATTAATGGTTATAACATATAACAACTTACTTTTCTTTTATCTTCAAAAGACACTGTTTCCAGTATATAATCCGGACGCCCATGAAATGCAATGTTGAAGTGTTTCCCCTCACCATCTTCACATGATTTCACTTGTGAAAATGGGAATTTTTTCTTGAGTGTTCCTTTCTCAATGTTAAAAATGGTATTCGTGTTAAAATCAATCTGGAAGAGAGAGATTTTCATCACTTGATACCATCTTTTCCCTTTGGAGGACTAGAGACTCCTTCCCACTATTAACATGCAAGACCATTTGGTTCTTGGATAAAGAAACAATTGAGAAAATGTATCTATTTTGCTGATGATTAAAATCAAGAAGAACAGCATTTCCATCATCTAGCCACTGCGTTGTATTTATTTTAGTTACCAAACAAATATATATTCATTGTATCTGCTATTTCCTTATCTCTCTTTGATAAATATGCATCAATTTATCATTTTGAAGCATTATTTCCTTTGAAATTTTCCACATGCCATCTACATGCTGTCACCAGAGCAAGAACTTTCTTTACAGCAGCAGCTGTACAGGCTAATGGCATGACCATGTTACTAAAGCTTTAATTACTGGTTAGATCAACCATGTTCTAATATTAAAATAAGGAGAGGCTGGTAACTACCATGCCAATAATTTCTGTTAGAAAAAATATTCTAAAATTATATTATTTTGAAAGCAATTATCAATTTCTGCTTGAGAAACATATTGTTTGCTGTTTTAGATACAAATGCAGGGTATGTGGGGGGTGGAGCTGGTAAGCAATTGCTTCAGTTAAGAATGTGATATTTTTAAAACAAATGTAGATATTCTGGCAAAGACCCATACTTCCAAGAATTTAAAGGTACTTATACTAGTATCAGCTTATTCTCATTCCTTTAAAGGATAAATTCATCCCAATCTCTATGCCACAGGTGAATCCCTTCTGAGCACATAGTACTTTGTGGCATGATGATGTGGGAACAACATTTGACTGCTCAGGACTTGGTGAATTTGGACTAGAGAAGAGACATGCCCAAATGAGTCTCAGGCCCAAACCTTCCCTGGCTTTAATTTTGGCTTTCATTGTACAAAACAAAAAGAAATGACCAAGGAAGTTTTGTTACACCAGACACATCTACACATGCAGCATCTACACAAGCAAATAAGCGCAACTAAATGTAATGCGCATTAATCAAATTTTGCCAGGTGTTTACCCATGCAGGGACTTGGGACTAAAGTTAGTGCACTTAGCACTGAAGTTAGTTCCAAGTCCCTTCAGCCCTGCCATGTGTCCCTGTGGCCACAGCAGCAATTGGCAGCCATGTTGAAGCCAGAGCCACCTGCCAGCACCTGGCAGCCACCTTGGAAACTCTGATCCCTGGTCAGCCCCTTCCCTGCCCAGAAGCTTCATGCCCAGTGCCAGCTCCCTCCTTTCCCACTCCACCTCCCTGAACCAGGGCTGCTCCAGCCCCTGCCCCTGCTAGCAATGCCTAGCACCCTGCTACTCCTGCCCAGCCTCTGCCAGCAATGACCAGCGCCCCAAACTCTTGCTCACCATGGTGCTGGTCCTACTGGTCCCAGCAGGCACCCCCCTCCAAGGACCCAGGAGAACCATGCATCTGCCAGCAGAGGCCAAAGCACTGGCTGCAGGAGGCCCTGCCTGACCTCCTCCTCTTTGGAGAGGTATTTCTCTCTTCGACTGTAATAAGTCACTAAGTCTGAGTGGGATCACGGCAGGATGATTTGAGAACAGCCAGTCCGTTCTCTGCTTCAAATTAAACCTTTAGACAAAATGTGCCAGATTCTCAGCTGATGTTAATTGAACAAACTGCATGAGAATCAATGGATCTATGTCAGTTTAAACCAGAATGACCTAGAAAGTGAACAATAATTAGGAAAAAAACCCAACAATGTTCTTGGAAGAAATGTAAAAGAGTGGCATGATACGTTATTATAGTACATGGTTCATAAATCCTCAAAGACTTTGAGAGCAAAAAATCTCATTTATAATTTGAAAATAATTACATATTTTAGAAACCGAGTTCCTAACGCTTTACCTCATGCTTTGCAAGTCATAAATTTGAAATGATTTTTAACAAAGCATAAGGGATTTAGGAGCTACTAGTTCTACTGACCTTAAATGGCATTTTGAAAACCTCTCCCTTACTTTACAAACTGACAATTATAAGATGATGACTTTTTCAGAATTTCCTTTGACAATACATCATTATAGTTATGATGTATGAATCTTAGCTAGCACTTAAAAACTAAGAACAGTTCCCTAACAGTATCTACTGAAATCAAATATTTTTGTCATGAATCACATGTGTTTAGAGATGAGATAGGCTTCTCATATCTTCAAGTTCATTCTACATAGTTGTAAGGTTATAATTCCTCAATAGAGGGTGTCTAAAATTTTAATCCCATAGTCCTTTTTGTCTAAAAGACAGAGAAATAAAATATAATACCAACTCTCTCCAGTGAATTTTAATTCAGACAGTATATTGGACTGCAGAATGCATTACAGCCCCCCCCCCCCCTGCCCATAAGGCTAGGGCACCCCGAAGCACCCACTTACAGGACAAGACCCACGAGGGGTCTGAATAAACATAGAGACATGTCCAAGAGGGCATAAGGCAGCCTCCCAACCAATTTAGACCGTAAAAGACGTGGCGGGCAAGAAATAGAGGGTGCCCCTTGGGCCAACTTGACACGGAGAGGGGGGCCTTAAGGAGATCACGGCCCTCCTGCAGGACCCCGCCGTGGCAAGGGTGTTTTGTCTTTATAGCTAGCTGCCCTTTCCTTTCTCTTCAGGGTTATTGATCTTTATCCCATCCTCCCCCCACTTCAACACTTTGGTTTCATCAGAGCTTTTTTTTCCTCTCCTCTGTCTTCAAGGTGTGGCTGGTTGATTAAAATGTTATATGAGGAATTTAAACAAGCTTAGCTGCTCTGGAAGAATTAAACATAAAATATAAATTACCTTTATGCCCACATGCACAGTCAAAGTGATAAGAATTGTTTAATGGAGCTGGCAATTATATTGATCTCTCCTTCCTTTAAACTGGGAACTTATGGCTTAATCGGATCTCAGGGTGTCTCTGCCATTATTTACTTTGCCAAAAAAAGAGGATTAATATCAAGTGGAAAACAACCAGGACTTTGCTTTGCAAGATAAATAAAAATCAATTTTTGTTTGTTAGCAAACGTGTTAAATGCAGAAAGATAACAAATCCAGAGAGACTCCCAAGGATACCATTTACAAAACATAGAGTAGTAGCCTTTTAAAAACAATTACAATAATTTCCTGTGGTTTGTGTGCTCTTTTGAGCTAACTGCCATGTGCAGCTATTTATAATGTTAAATATTTTCATTAGCTTTTGCTATGTGGGTTTTTTTCCTCTCCTGATCATTTGACAACATGAGCAATGCACAGCTCCACAACACACTAGGCAGATAAGAGAACTGGTGACAAACTAAAAAAACCCTCCACTGCTAGGTCCCTAGTTCAAAAACAACTCGGGGAATAACCACCATTATCATATGCAACAAGCTGTTTATTAGCTTGTAGGAAATAATGTGGTCATGCCAATCTAGGTCCTAGAGTGTAATTATTCCTAATTCTAAAGTAAAAGACCAATTCAGATCCTGGCTGGTCATCTGAGCAGCATCTTAGAATGAGAGAGAATAATTAAGGGCTGCAGCACAGCCATTTTTTTCCCCTCTTTGAGAAAACAGTGCTCTCTAACAGAGAACTTATGATGTGCCCTTACCTTCTCCAGCAACTCTGACAGCAGTCTTATCTCATTACATTAGTGTTTGAAAAATAAGGTGATTGAGAAGGTAGAGAGAGGAAAAATGGTATAGAATGAAGGAGGAGGAAACTCTCCAGTCTCGCCCATTAAAAATCACTTTGGCTCTAACTATTATTATTATTAATTTCTATTGTAGGAGTACCCAGGAGTTCTAGCCATGTGCCAGGGCCCCATTATATCAGGGGTTATTTTGATGCTGATAACAAAACTTATCTTTTCTGCTCTCCCATTAAGAATAAACTGATCCCCTCAAATTGAATGTAAATGTGAACCAAAACATTATTTGATCTACAAGTTAAAACTTTGCTTTAAGTAAATATCAGAACCCACAAAAAGTCCACAACTGAGAGAGACAAAGTACTACTATGAAGAAAAATGCTATGCCGTACGTCACCCATTTCACAGATGCCAAACCATCTTCCTGCAAATCCAGAAGTCCTTCATGTATCACATCAAATACTGTGGGTCTGCCAAAGTAGGACTCTGCAGGTCTCCCATATGAACTGCTCTGAACAATTTTGCCCATAAGGTGCAATATCTGTAAAGTAAGTGACCGTAGATCATGTGTTTTTTATACATCAGGTCAGTTCTAAAAAAGGCCAGGTGGCTGAGAGGGCATTTCTATTCACCCATATATAAAATGAGACAACATCATACACAAGATAAATCAACTGCTGAAAAATAAGTATGGATACCACTCAATTGAGATCTGCTTTTATGCCTGTATCCCTGAACCAGGGGTGTCAAACTCATCCAGCTCCAGGGGCCAGATGAGCACCCTACTGCTGTGCCCTACTGGACCAGCCTTAGGTACTGAGTCCGGCATACACAAATGGTCCACAGGACAGATCATAAGGCTGCACAGGCCAGATCTGGCCCGTGGGCTATATGTTTGACACCTCCCATCCTAAACATGTAGACATAAGCACAGGATAATCTCTTCCTAAAAGGCATATTATAAAACACAGATTTTTTTGTACATTAGCTATGAAAACTATTGTAGAAAGTAATAGTCAGGCTTTCTGTAAATCTTCTAGAACTCCATTCACAAACCAGGTAAAATGCCATTAGCTTTGGTTTCATTCCAAACACCACGCTTCTCGCCTATTCAGCTGAATGCAATCAAACACACCTGACTAGAAATATGAGAAAATAAGGGCTTATGTATCCTTGAAAGTAAATGCAGATTGGAGCAGAGTGTGAAGTTAAAGTGCAGTAGCTGTTATTAGGAATATACGTAGGTGCTCTTATTCTAGAACAAGGGTGCTTTTCCCATCTAGCTTAATTCACTGTGAAATAAACAGCAACAAGACCCTCTACTACTCCTAGTGAGGGTCCTGTTGGTGGCCAATTTAGGGTCACAGCAAAAAAAGAGATTGGGAACCACTGCGCTAAGGGCTTAAGTCAAAATCTTTTATCCAAAAACCTCTCAAAACTTCAGGAGAGTTTAAAATGAAACCTGCCTTAAAACTTTGAAAACCGATGTACTTAGTTTACTTTGTTACTTTATTTTAGTTTTTAATCAAGTAAAAGATTTCAGTAAAAGGGACATCTCCCTGAAAGAACATGATGCGACTTCTTTGTAACCAAAATAGCTGCTCCTGTAGAAAGCTGGCTCCTTCACAGATTAAAAGATGCAACAAACAGCAAACACATGTTTGATATGAGTTACAACAACCCCACAAAGTCAAAGGAGACTGAAGAGGTGTGATTAGAAACACAGGTGGAATTAAGGAGAATGGTTTATTCACTAATTTATTCATGGAAATCTGGGAATCTCATCAGAATTGAAGCATTTCTCTTTTAAATGAGCCTCCTTAGATATCTGTGTAACAGTAAAGTATGTGCTTTCGGTTGTTGCATATAGTTTTTCATCATAGCGGTACAGGTGAGAGTGGTGCATGTCCAGGCTGCTGCCATAGGCCTAGCTGGATTTTGCTGCCCAGTTCAGGCCCAGCGTGATAGGCCTGAGCCACCTCTTCTCCCTTTTGCAGTTTATGTCCCAACCGAGCAATGTGGCCAGGCACTAGCTGTAGTTCAGGCCCAAGTCAAAATAGGCCTGATCTTTCCTCCAAGTTTTTTCACAGTTTTCTGCCCAGCAGAGCTGGGATTGGGACTAGGGATTTTGGGGTGCAGCATCTTGACGAAAGCCGCAGTTAACCCCTCAAAACCACCATGTGGAAAGGGGGGGTCAGCACTCTACCACTTCTCCAGGAGCAACAGAGCACCTTGCAATGCAGAAGGACCCACACTCTTAAGCAGCTCCCTCCAGTGCAGCGAACCAAAGGAGCAGCTCAGAGGACTCTGGTGGGAACCCCTGCTCCAGCCCATTGCTGAAGGGCAGATATAGGGATGCAGGCCCCTGGAACTACCCACTGGGGAGCCCCAAGTCCCAGACGTCCTGCATATGGAAGGTACCACCTATAGACTTTGCTTTGTAGTTAATAGTATTTTAAAAATTATATTAAGCATTTTCTTTTGAGTTTTTTTTTGCTTTAGTCTCTGTTATAAATTTGGGTTTTTGTGTTTACACTGCTTGTGAGCAGGGGTTTTTGTTCATATGGGATGCCCCAGCAAATTTAGTGCTCCCAGATTCTTGGGTGGGGCCTTTAACCACTGGTATAATTAATGGGGTACCCCGAAATGTGAACCCAGCCCTCCTTGCTGCCAACTGGTGCCCAGGGGAAGGGTTACATCTGTATAGCTAAACTGAAGCAAAATTCTGCCTTTCACTTGCACTGCCACGCGCTAAGCAGTCAAGGTTTAAACCACGGCACAAGTTTCCGGTAATATTTGGGATATGTGGTAATATATGTCTACTTCTCTACTTGCAGAACATAGGAGTATAACAAATTCCCGGGTTGCAGAGGGATTTTTGGCACTACCTTAATACTGAATAGATGATAATAAATATTAATGGTTATAACATATAACAACTTACTTTTCTTTTATCTTCAAAAGACACTGTTTCCAGTATATAATCCGGACGCCCATGAAATGCAATGTTGAAGTGTTTCCCCTCACCATCTTCACATGATTTCACTTGTGAAAATGGGAATTTTTTCTTGAGTGTTCCTTTCTCAATGTTAAAAATGGTATTCGTGTTAAAATCAATCTGGAAGAGAGAGATTTTCATCACTTGATACCATCTTTTCCCTTTGGAGGACTAGAGACTCCTTCCCACTATTAACATGCAAGACCATTTGGTTCTTGGATAAAGAAACAATTGAGAAAATGTATCTATTTTGCTGATGATTAAAATCAAGAAGAACAGCATTTCCATCATCTAGCCACTGCGTTGTATTTATTTTAGTTACCAAACAAATATATATTCATTGTATCTGCTATTTCCTTATCTCTCTTTGATAAATATGCATCAATTTATCATTTTGAAGCATTATTTCCTTTGAAATTTTCCACATGCCATCTACATGCTGTCACCAGAGCAAGAACTTTCTTTACAGCAGCAGCTGTACAGGCTAATGGCATGACCATGTTACTAAAGCTTTAATTACTGGTTAGATCAACCATGTTCTAATATTAAAATAAGGAGAGGCTGGTAACTACCATGCCAATAATTTCTGTTAGAAAAAATATTCTAAAATTATATTATTTTGAAAGCAATTATCAATTTCTGCTTGAGAAACATATTGTTTGCTGTTTTAGATACAAATGCAGGGTATGTGGGGGGTGGAGCTGGTAAGCAATTGCTTCAGTTAAGAATGTGATATTTTTAAAACAAATGTAGATATTCTGGCAAAGACCCATACTTCCAAGAATTTAAAGGTACTTATACTAGTATCAGCTTATTCTCATTCCTTTAAAGGATAAATTCATCCCAATCTCTATGCCACAGGTGAATCCCTTCTGAGCACATAGTACTTTGTGGCATGATGATGTGGGAACAACATTTGACTGCTCAGGACTTGGTGAATTTGGACTAGAGAAGAGACATGCCCAAATGAGTCTCAGGCCCAAACCTTCCCTGGCTTTAATTTTGGCTTTCATTGTACAAAACAAAAAGAAATGACCAAGGAAGTTTTGTTACACCAGACACATCTACACATGCAGCATCTACACAAGCAAATAAGCGCAACTAAATGTAATGCGCATTAATCAAATTTTGCCAGGTGTTTACCCATGCAGGGACTTGGGACTAAAGTTAGTGCACTTAGCACTGAAGTTAGTTCCAAGTCCCTTCAGCCCTGCCATGTGTCCCTGTGGCCACAGCAGCAATTGGCAGCCATGTTGAAGCCAGAGCCACCTGCCAGCACCTGGCAGCCACCTTGGAAACTCTGATCCCTGGTCAGCCCCTTCCCTGCCCAGAAGCTTCATGCCCAGTGCCAGCTCCCTCCTTTCCCACTCCACCTCCCTGAACCAGGGCTGCTCCAGCCCCTGCCCCTGCTAGCAATGCCTAGCACCCTGCTACTCCTGCCCAGCCTCTGCCAGCAATGACCAGCGCCCCAAACTCTTGCTCACCATGGTGCTGGTCCTACTGGTCCCAGCAGGCACCCCCCTCCAAGGACCCAGGAGAACCATGCATCTGCCAGCAGAGGCCAAAGCACTGGCTGCAGGAGGCCCTGCCTGACCTCCTCCTCTTTGGAGAGGTATTTCTCTCTTCGACTGTAATAAGTCACTAAGTCTGAGTGGGATCACGGCAGGATGATTTGAGAACAGCCAGTCCGTTCTCTGCTTCAAATTAAACCTTTAGACAAAATGTGCCAGATTCTCAGCTGATGTTAATTGAACAAACTGCATGAGAATCAATGGATCTATGTCAGTTTAAACCAGAATGACCTAGAAAGTGAACAATAATTAGGAAAAAAACCCAACAATGTTCTTGGAAGAAATGTAAAAGAGTGGCATGATACGTTATTATAGTACATGGTTCATAAATCCTCAAAGACTTTGAGAGCAAAAAATCTCATTTATAATTTGAAAATAATTACATATTTTAGAAACCGAGTTCCTAACGCTTTACCTCATGCTTTGCAAGTCATAAATTTGAAATGATTTTTAACAAAGCATAAGGGATTTAGGAGCTACTAGTTCTACTGACCTTAAATGGCATTTTGAAAACCTCTCCCTTACTTTACAAACTGACAATTATAAGATGATGACTTTTTCAGAATTTCCTTTGACAATACATCATTATAGTTATGATGTATGAATCTTAGCTAGCACTTAAAAACTAAGAACAGTTCCCTAACAGTATCTACTGAAATCAAATATTTTTGTCATGAATCACATGTGTTTAGAGATGAGATAGGCTTCTCATATCTTCAAGTTCATTCTACATAGTTGTAAGGTTATAATTCCTCAATAGAGGGTGTCTAAAATTTTAATCCCATAGTCCTTTTTGTCTAAAAGACAGAGAAATAAAATATAATACCAACTCTCTCCAGTGAATTTTAATTCAGACAGTATATTGGACTGCAGAATGCATTACAGCCCCCCTCCCCCCCCCGCTTTTTCTTATCCTTTCTGTTTTTTTTT